CGAGTAGCATATTGAACATACGCCGGGTCACCTCGTTGTTCATGACCAGGGTTGCCATCTCCAGGGAGTTCTTGCACTCTTTGCGCAGGAGATTGACCTGGTCGTTGCTGTGTTTGACGCTTCGGGAAGTCGCACCAGAACCGCTGCCAGCAGCTTTGCTTAAAGCTAAGAGGCCTGAAAGACCGTAGTCCTCGCCTTCTTGCAAGCCCAAGGGTGCATCAGAAAGACTTGCCCACCAGCCATCTCGCCAGCCATGGAACAACATGATGCATAGGCGGGCACTCCAGCAAGGCCGAAACGCCTGACCTGCATCGAAGAAAGACGCCCACCTCGCCCACTTGACATTGCTGCCTTTGTGCTTGAGCTCCTTGTCTCGGCAGAGCATTTGGAACACAGTCTCCATGTGAGACTCGCTCCCGTAGTCAAGGGCACCCTGCAGCCCCCATTCCCGACAAATGTTGGGATAGCAGTTGGCAAAAAACACGTTGTCAAAGGAGCTTTTCGTCGCCATATCTTGCAGGGCACTTTGCAGCTGCCCGTGGAAGGCGGCGCCCTCAAACGGCCCTGACCGCACGTTCATGGCCAGTGTGCACTCCCTGACAACACTCCAAAAAGAGGCCGACACGCACGCAGCCTTCAGATCATTCCACACTCGGTGCCAGGGGTCGTGGAAGTACAGCCCGCGGAGACCATGGCTTTGAAAAGCCATCTGTACGCAAGGCCATCCTATGGAACCCTGGTCCACGCAGACCACGAGACTGGGAGACAAGTATGGTTCACCATTGCTGTCCAAATGCTTCGCATGCTCCAAGCTCCTCTTGCCAGATTCTGTATCTGCCAAGACCATACGCTTCTGACCAACCCCATGCTGCCGTCCGATGATGACAGTCTCTCTTCGCTCATGTGGCTGCAGGCGCTGCGGTCGACGCAGCGGCAGGAAATCGCAGAGAGAATAGCCCGTACCAGCTTTCACGGCGTGCTCAAAGCAAAGCATGTAGTGCATGTTGGCTGCACGATACGGCCTTAGCTCGTCTTCAAGGACGTCGCCTTTGTCGTCCTTCTCAGCTCCCTCTGTTTCAAGCCATCGCAACAACTCGCTCTGCAAGATCTTCGCGCTTTCTTCGGACTCTGGGGCAACCCCAGGCTCGTCTGTCAGCACCTGTCAGGGGCTTCCGGCAACAAGCTGGTCAACGACAGTTTCGCTTCGAGTTTGGCACCAAGCTTAAAATCGAACGATCAAAACAAAGCATAAAAAAATTATGTCTACGGTCTATGGAAAATGCCGCCTACGTTTCCGTCGTCTACTTTACCAATCGGGCCGAGGAGATGTCTAAGACGCAAAGACGGTGTCTTAGACCCCAGGAGAAAGTCTTAGACAAGCTCTTGATGTTCAAAAACAACACGACCCTGTGTCTTAGACGCCCGCAGAATGTCTTAGACCCGAAACGGTTGTCTAAGACGCACATGCAGTGTCTTAGACCCGCCCAAAGCTCTTTAGACATGTTGTTGGACCAGCGACCTTGTCCTCAAGACCGACATGAACCTTCCCATCGCTAGACCTCGGCCTGCACCTCAAAGTTTAAGCCTGAAACCCGAGTTGCCCCCCTAACCCCCTTTCTTCACAATCCAAATCCCTAACCCCTCGACCCTCAACCCAATCCTTAAACCGTCAACCCTAAAACCCAAAACAACATTCCGTCCTGCGGTGGCAACCAGACACCCACGCCGTCTCTGGAAGCAGCCCCCACAAGCAGATCCTGTCCTGGATCCCCCAATCGCTTAGCGTCCAAACTCACGGCGACAACCACGTTAGTTGTCCGGTCTTTCTGAAATGCCTCCCAGCTTTTAGCGATGTAGCGACAAGCGTCTCTCTTCTGCCACTTCAGTCCTGCGGTGCGATCAGCGGCATTGTGCACACAGTTCAGAACCTGTCGTGAAAGGTTGTGCTCAACGGCTTGTTGCCGCAAAGCCTCCACGACATCTTCATCCACAGCTTGCCTGCGGTCTGCTGCAGGATCCAAGGACCTGCCCAGAAGCACATCCTCGTGTCCAAATTCCACAAGATGCTGTTCCACAAGCAGCGCTATGTCCTCCAGCACTTTCAAGCACAAGTATTTGGCACTTTCGCAACTGTCTGAAGTAGACCACACTTTGCACAAGCAGCTCACGGTTTTGTCCAAAAAGGTTGCTGTTGACATTGCATGCGATGCCGTGGGCAGCTCACCTAAGACCTGGGACAGGTGAACGCATGTTCCCAAGCCTGGTCGCTGCAGACATCGCTGCAGAATACCTGTGTCTGAAAATGGCGACAGAACTGCAGCCATCGAGTCCCCGGGGATTGATGCTTCAAGCATGCTTCGAAACAGGAATCTGCATCGCTCTTGATTGCGATGCATTCCCGAAATGCTCCATTGGCAAAGAAGCGCGAGAGCCCCCAATGTAGTAATCTGCCACTCGTTCCGGAGCAACTCCGGTTGCTGCATGCCCTTGAAGTTCTTGTTGCTGTATTTGCTGGCCTTCTTAGATTTCACTAAGCATTCATCCACACTCAAGCCCAGCAGCTCGAAGCAGTTGCGCCACTCTCCATCAGCACCACAACCTTTGTTGACGATCTCATGCACATATTGGGAGCGGGGGACCTTGCCGCAGCAATGCAGCAAACGTCGCAGCTCCAACAGCAGTAGCCGCTCACCGTCAGTGTTGCTGTAAACCCAGGTTTTCAAGTTCACAGCTTCAGACTTGCCATTGTGCAGCTGGCTACAAGCAAGGTACCGCGGATGATAAGCAGAGAAAACCATGATTTCGTGGGTGAAACAAGCATGGACACGCGCATGCCTAGCGAGTGTTGGCTACATACAGGACACGTCTGTTTCGTGCGCGGAGGTTGTGTTGCAAGCTCCTCGCTCTCAACTTGGGACGGTAGCAATACACATCTTGCTTTCTACTTGACTTCTGGAAACTAATGTGACACGGTCAACATGTACAAGTGGCTCCAACTACCTCTCGAAACGAACGATGTTATCATCAAAGCTTCGGGGCGCGGGTCTGGGACTAAGCTCTTAATCGCGAGGGCCCGGGCTTACTACGAGGGTGCAAAGGCCTCATGCGCATAACACCTTGAGTGCGACGTGGCACACACAAACACACACGGCAACTGCACAAGAGCTCTTGCGACTGGGTTCTTGGTTCCGTGGGCTAGAAACTCGCTCCAGCGTCACACAACAACTACGGATGCGGCATATGGAAGGAGTGGAGCGTCGCTTGGAACATCTGCGGCAATTCTGCAAGGCTGACACACCGAAGATTCTTTAAACCCCTCCGAAGGCGCACTCCTCGTTTGCAGCTCACTGCGTACAGTGAGGCGCGGCAGTGCTTCGAGCAGCTGCAACCCCGAAACCCCTGCTACGCAAGTACCGGTCCCTGCTCTTACACTGCAAAAACAACTTATAGTAGGACATCGGATGTACTTCAAGTTTACCATACGACTGTAGGGCCTAAGCAGCTTCTAACGTGCGAGGCATACGACTTCACTTCGAGCAGATACGGACCCGCCTAGACCTGTGCAAAGAAAACCAGGCTGCAAAACAACTGTCGGCTGGATGGCGCGCAGGTCCACTGCACTCGTTAAAGCAATAATGATGAGGCTCAAGGTTTAAGTTTAATTGGTGTTTAGGGCTTTTTTGCGGTATCTGTTGCTGGATTTTAGGGTTTTGGGGTTAGTTACGGTTCGAGGCGGGTTTAGGGTGGAGGGCTTAAGATTTTTTTTTGGCGGGTACGTCAAACTATACACAAGCCTCTACAGAACACAAGCGTTTATCCCAGCTGCGCCATCCTAGCAGGAGTTTTGCATGCCCTGTGAAAGTTTGGCAAACCTAAAGGTGCAACTTGGAACACTGCTTTGATCGATCGGCTAAGCACTTCCCTGAAGTAGCAATGCCTCAGAAAAGGAAACGGCTACGGCTCAGCCTCAGTCAAGTCCATGTCCAGCTCCGTGGTCTTCTTTGGCGATGACCCGGTGGCAGCCTCAAGCACACCACTCAAGTCCTTGCGGCAGCTGTCGTCGTCCTGCTCCTCGGTTTCAGCTGGACTGGGCTTTTCATCTCTCGACTTCTCCTTCGAAGGTGGCGAGTCTCCACCCGGACTGGTGCCGGCACGGCGCTTTTGGCTGCTCTGGCACCAGGACTGTGAACCCAAGCGCTTGACGTTGAAGGGCTGCTTCACCAACTGCGGATTCTCGGACTCCTGGCACTCTGACCGGGGTGCAGTAAGCATCGCCTGTTGGGGATTCTCTGCGGCTCCGTCTGAAGGCAAACTCACCACGAAAGCTTTGATGTCTTCAAAAGGATCATCGGGGAAGTCGTCCTTGAAGAGCTTCTTCAACGGATAGCTGAGGACCCCATCGGACTCCACGAGAATGGCACCCTTGGAGGAGTGGTTGGCCTCGATGTGCAAGTTCGTCATGTCGTTGATCACTGCGAGCTGGTCTGCCGGCAATGCGCGGGTTGGCTTGTCCGTCAAGAACTTGTGGGTCACGAAGACGCTCTCCCCCTCTGAGCTGATCTGGTACACGCCATGCGTGTCCCACTGTGGCGGCAAGGGCAAGCATCGCAACCGATGCCCATGCAGCTCGTTCAACTTCGCCAAAGCCTTCTGCAAGTTGCCAACAACCTTGAAAGGACCCGATGTGCCGATCCACGAAGACGGGCTGCACTCTGTGGCAAACTCTATGAGCTCCTGGATTGCAGCCTTGGGGATGGCCTTCTTGGCAGTCGGCTTCAAGGCGTTCAACGCATGAGGTGTCACCACTGCTTCGCCGATGTTCACAAGGAGGTACATGAGCACGTCCTGGTGCAAGCCTCCCAAAGCCGTGGTTGTGCGTGGCAAAAACGAGCTTGCATCCACTCGTTCCTTGCTCTTTGCCGCGGCTTTGCTCTTGGGGGCAGCGTCATTCTTGAAATGGCTTTCCAGGTCCACGCCACAGTCCTCCAAAGCAGCTTCGCAAGCTCCGCACAATTCCGCGGAACCTTTGATGATCGAATAGATTTTCTCAGCCCTTGCTGCCAGCTCCAGTGCCAAGCCCTGCTTCCGATGAGCAGCTGCCTTCTGCAGCTTTTCACTGGCACTCGGTTTCTTCGGCATCTGGCGATGAGGAAATCTGAACGCAACACGTCGGCTACACTACTCCGGTTCACCTGGGGTTTGAGGCACCCGTGAATCAGCGAAGACGGGTTTTGCCGATGACTTGTCTCAGACTGCCACTTCAAGACTGCAAACTACAACCGAAACCTGAAACCTGAAAGGCTAGGATCTGTTCGCACCTCTTGGAATTCAGCCTGTACCCTGCATAAGATCTCAAATCAGAACACAAGAACAGCAAGCCTTCCAGTCACCTGTCCACACCTACCCAAGACCCCTCTGACACTAGAATTTCCAATCCTTTGACCAACCTCAAGAAGGAAACCTATGCACTTCCGAAAAACCCTGTTTCAAAAAACCCCTTTAGGTTCTTCATGATATGCAGGCAGAACCGGCGGCCGTTCCTTTTGCACTCACTGCCGGCGGCGGTTCGTCTGTGCAACGGGATAGCTCTGATTGCTCAGGATAGAAGACACATATATAGCACTTAGCTATGGGCATTGACTTGAGCCAAACGTTGCGTTGGCGGTCACATAGAAAGGTAAAGATGAGGGATGCGTAGCATGCCCCCTAGAGTCGAGGGACGCGTAGCGTGCCCCCTTCTCTTGCACTTTACACGGTCTTGCTCACAGCTCTTATAGTGACACCTTAGAACTTGACAAGGCATCGCAGTCCGTTCGCAAAAAGGAAATAAAAGCGATAGTAATTAAATATAAGGTATAGTATAATATGGGTAGTAGAATTTCAAAAGATAATGAGAATAATTGTATCAATCAAATAAATAATATTAATGAAAATGATTTAGATTTGAGTAATATTGATAGATTACAAATTAAAGTATTAAAAGAAATGATAAAGGAAATAATAGAAGTAAAAGAAAAAAAGAGTGATAAAATAATGTATCGTTTGCCTGTTCAAATATGTAATTACAGCTTGTTTTAATTAATAATATTATTGTGAAATAATATTATTAATCTTCACCATCACTAACCATTATCCTATGTGTAAAGTTCTTCATAAAGACTTCATCAATGTCGCTTTTTGTAAGATTACAATATGAAAAACTATATGGTTCGCTTGTTGCTTCATTGTAAATCTCTAATAATAACCTCTTTGCTTCTGCTACATTTTTAGCATCTGCCAACATCTTTTTGTTTATTAACATAGCCGATAATTCTTCAATCATTGTCTCTATCTCTTTATAATTTCTCATTTTGAAGAAAAATAACTGTCTTGAATTAACACGAATTATTCTTGACAATGCCCGATATGCTTGAACGCTTGTAATCACTGTCAGGGCATTATGGCGACCCCTAACATATAACTGATTTAACAAACTTGAGTGTCTGCTAAATTTTTCGTTGTCTGCCATATCGTCTATTACGAGTAAGCAAGAATGTAATGTTTTATGGTCGTTTTTCTTTTGATACTCTATAACCTTATGGTGTCTTTCTATAATTTTTTGTAAATCCGATGCGATATATTCTTCAAAAAAGCACTGCTCTTTTTCAGTATCTACTTTCATTTCATCTTTTATATATTTCTTTACGGGTGTCCATATACTATCTACATTTATTGATGGGCTAAAACCATATATACGAGCAAAACAATTTCTGTAAATATCTAAAATTAACGACTGTAATAAAATAGTTTTTCCTGAGCCTGACGGTGCTGATATTATCATAGATGCTGGTAATTTAGGTGCTACTTCATATTTAGACTGTTTAAAATCATATTCTTTAACATTGATAGGTTTAACTATAGGAGTAGTCATTATTATTAATACATAGAAAAGTTATATCGTTAATATTCAAAATCTAAATAGTATAAATGAGCGAGGCTTCAGAAGACAGCAACGACAAAGGATTTCGTATTAATGCTAAAGGTATATCTTGTATCCCCTGCCGTTGCAAAAGACTATTTTATCATAAGGAGACTACAACTGTTAAAGAGAATAACACAATAACAACTAATACGGTGGTTGATAAAAGAAACACTAAATTTGGTGGTAGTGGCAGACACACCAGTCCTGACGATATTTTTAAACCAGATACTAATTTGCAGGAAGGAAGCGTTGAAATATGTGATACAGGATGGAGTAGTAAAGAAAGTAGAATAACACCTGAACAATTAGAAGAAAGAGTAGAGAAGTTGGAGACTGATGTTGATTTGTTGAAAAAGGATGTAGAAGATATAAACATTTATAAAATTAAGATGGATTAAAGATTTAAAAATTAAAATCTAATCTATATTGACAGCTGTATAGTCTTTTGAGCTTTTGGAAGAAGGAGAAAAATACCCCCGTAGTGTTCCCTGTTTCACATTGGATGGTCTCACGAAAGGGAAGTAGTGTCTGAACATTCAATAGCAACTCATAAGCAGGTGCTTAATTAGTTTGTTAAATCCTATAGGAATTGGCTTTATAATTTTAATTATAAAGCGAATTATATGACAATATACACTGATAAAATTGAAGTATCATTCTCAGATACTGATAAAATTGAATATATTTATTGTTGTTTGGAAATAAGATATTGTAAATTATGTAAATCATATAAAGAGAAAGAAAATTTTAGAAGTCGTCAAAAAAGCAAAGAGTTCAATATCATTTGTAGGAGATGCTTAGATAAACAGAATAGTTATAGGAAAAATGCAAAGTTGAAAAAGTCAAATGACTTTTAAAACTTTATTGAAACGCATTTCAACAAAGTTTCAAAAAGTTTTAAAAAATAATCTAAAACTTTTATATGAGCGATATAGATGATGTTAAGACAGAAGCAAAAGCAACACGATTTCAAAAGATATTAGATAAGTTAGAACTAATTGATAAAAAACTTGATGAATTAACTAATAAACCTAAACAATACAATAAGCCAATGGATAAAGGAAGCGATGTCTATAAAAATAAAAGAAATGTCTATGTCAATAAATTAAACAACTGTGAAATAAAAGAACCTAAACAACAAACTTTAGATTATTATGGTGTTAAATTTGATGATGTCAAGAGAGAGTATGTTTAAACTTTCTGAATATTTTGTATATTTAGAAGGTTTATTGATTATTAATAAAATCTTGATGTTTTTTAGTTCTTTCGTGCTTTCTTATAATGCATTTTTGGACTTTTGAACCACAACAACATTCAACTATGTGTTTTGCTTTGTTGTTTATTTCATCTTTATTATTTATGTAATAACTGTGCTTTTGTTCTTTTAGGTATTCTTTATTCTCTTCTCTATATTTAAGTGAATAGTCTTTTTGATATTCTTGTATTTTTCCTTGTTGATTTCGCTGTATTCTTTAATATGTTCTTTGTTATTCTCATACCATTGTTTCAATCCGTCTTTGATTTTGTCTTTGTTCAACGGGTTGTAATATTCTTTATATTCTTTCGGAGTTCTTCCTGCTATACATCTATTCACACAATCAGTATTTTGAATAAAATAACCTTCTCTTCGTAGTAATTCTTCCTTATTTTTACAAGGGTAATTTTCAATTAGTTCAATCTTTAAATTATCTTTCCCATACTCTTTAAATAGTTCAAGTGATGTTGTCCAAGTTTTCAAGTTGTTCTTTAAATAGCTGTAATAATCTTTTCTGTGTCTTTCCATTCTTTTACTTAACTTCTCACAAGTGCTTCCAATATAACATTTGTTATAATCTATGTCGGTTATTTTATATATTTTCCCTCTATCATACCTATTCATACCATATTATACCATCTAATCTTTAAGCATTAATCTGATAATGACCAAATGGCAAACTGTTTATATTATCTAAATAATACCCTTTATTATCAAAGCTACTTAATGCTTGTTTAACCTGATTTCTTGAATATATCTGATGGTTTTTACTTCTAATGCTGTTAAAACTAACACTATCACAACAGTTGTTTTCTAATGTATCTTTGTATTTATTATAATTAAGTTCTTTCTTTACTTTATGTTTTACAATACCTTTACTCTTTTTTTCTTCCTTGGTTTCATTATAAACCTTAAACGCATAGGATTTTGGTTTAAGACCTATAAAATGTGTAATAATTTTACCATCTGCTTCATCTTTAAAACAACCGAGTTTTTTCTTATTAGTATCATCATAACATTTATGGTCTTTATCATAACCGCTGAAGTCCATATATTTATTTATTTGTTTAAAGTCATCATATATGTCTTCTGTTTTAGTGTGTATAACAAAACTGTCAGTGTCAGTATATATTAACCTTACATCGTTATTATACTTCTTCTTCAACACATCATAATAGAAGCTATACATATGCAACTTAGATAAGTCTAAGATACTCATACCTACATATATAGGCTTATTCAGTTTAACCGTTTCTTTTAACTTCTCCACTCCTACAAGATTTTCGTTAATTATGTGTCTGTGTTTATATGTAGGAGCATTAACGACTTTTTGGAAGCGCTCGGGTGTATCAACTAATTCAAAGTTAATGTGTTCTCTTACATTCTCCATCGTTCTACCATACACCGCGTTGTTCATTAATTTGTACATATCCTTTTCAAAGTCGCTGTTTGCTTTCTTTCTTTTTTCAGTGTTAAAATCAATCCACGGTTTTAGCCATTCTTTTTGTCTAAACTGGACTACTCTATTAATCTTCTTTATTTTAAGTCCTTGTTTTAAATAATATCTTAATATTTTAATGTGTAATACATAATTCTCTTTGTGATTTACATTTAATATTAACTTGTTAGTTTTCGCATCTTTGGGCGTTTTATTAAAATGATAGGCTTTGTAAATCTCCTTCTGTGTATCACTTAACATATCAGCCGTTATATTCATAATTTCAGGGGCAAGTGGGTAATCAATATGTTTATCGTGTAGTTCTTTAGGATACTCTAAATCAACATCTAAAATATAACCATAACCTAAATCGCTCCAAGTTTCCATGTGTTCTTCTGTAAAGTTGCCTTCAATGAATTTAATATCTTTGTATGGTAGTTTTTGACACATCGCTAAACCATATAAATTATTAGCATCAAGATAAT